CTGTTCCTTTGTGTTGAAGCACCCACTTCTTGATTGGGCAGCTGTTTAGATGTTCAGGCAAATGTTTAGGTGTTCAGGCAAATGTTTAGGTGTCCAGGCAAATGTCTAGATGCCAAGACAACTCTTTAGATGTTTACATTTTCCTCCCTTCTCTGTCAACATTCTGTTCTTTTTAAAAAGGTCCAAATAGGAGTGGAGAGGGACCAAGTCACAGGTTAGGATGAATGTTGTTAAAGACATCTGTCTGTCATTGCATCACTTAGGGCTGAGGCGTTTCTTTGTATGTTTGTTTACTAATTCATTCATTTGTTTGAATTATTTTTCTGTGTGGTATATTCAGATTGTTGGAAATATGGGTGTTTTTTGAAATATTGTTCCATGTGGTTTACCCAGATTATTAGAGATATGCGTGTTATTTGAAATAGTGTATTATGTGGTTTACAGTTTATTTAGATTGTTTGGAATCTGCTTGTTATTTGAAATATTGTTCTGTGTGGCTTATCCAGATTGTTGGAAATGTATGTGTTTTTTAAAATATTGTTCTAAATAGTTTATCCAGATTGTTGGAAATATGCTTGTGTTCATGGTTAATTCTCAATCAGAGGCTATTTAATTTAATTTGATTTGTCCTGCTGATCCTATTTGTTATCATATTCTTTGTAAATATTTCCCAGCAAGTTTTGTATCTACTGGTTCATGCACTTTAGCATAAAATGCTATATAATGTATTAGCACCAAATAAGTTTAGTGTCTTAATTTGTGTGTGTGTGTGTGTGTGTGTGGGCGGGCCTTGAAATAGATTTTGTCACTAAGAGAACTGATTGCCTGCATTAGAAGAAGAGGTGCTTTATTAATATCCTACCCCAGATGACGTCACAGGACAGTCTAACATTTTAGAGGGTGGTGAGCCGAGGTTTCCCGGCTTTCTGATGCTTTTAACGACCCCAAAACATATAGAACTGGCCCTAACCCCAACCTATGTACATCACACAAGAGAGTGCAGCCTAGGTCCCATAAATGCATGCGGTATAGGTTCCACGACTGCAAGCTGCCTTTCTACCACCCCTGAAATAGACTGTCTCATGACCTGTGGATTTCTCCTGTTTAGGGTAGGCTATTAATAAAGCACCGGAGAAGATATTTTTTTATTCTTCTTCTGCTGCTCCTGCACAACCACCCTTAAAAGAGTGCTTACCTCACCATGTTGTTTTACAGCTAGGCTGTAACAATTTTTGGCCTTACACATTCATGTTCAGCAGACACTTTGAGGACAAGCTTGTTATTAGGAAGTAGGTATATTATCGGCTATGAAATCCAGACGGCGAAGGAGACAATCTACATTCTTTGATCTGTGTGTGAGAATGGGAAAACTGGGGGGGAAAGGGAGGCGAAGGGAAACCAATTTGGCATCAAGGCATAGAGCAGAGCTGCTCAGCTAAGATTACTTAGGAGCCGAAATGTTAAAAATTACGATAGTCACAGTCCAGAGCCCTACCATAGAAAGATTATTAATAAAATACAGTTGGTAACGAGGGGCATTTGCTAGGTCTCTGCATTTTGGCCTTTGGGCTGCCAGTTGAATATTCCTAGCATAGAGTGTCATCTATGTCAAAAATGATTGAAAGTGGACGCAATCGACTTCGCAGCCACATGTACACAAGATTTAAAATCGGCGAATCAGCCATGCGCACATGTGGGCTGGCCCCTGAGACAACAGATCATGTCCTCCAAGACTGTCCCAAATACAATATATAAAGGCAAAACTTTTGGCCACGAGAAACATCGGTGCAAGTCAAACGTTACAAGTAGCTGAGTGAATTACAAAAGACAGTGAAGTTCGTACTACAGACATCATTTCAGATATACAGTGGAACCTCACTTAACGAGCATAATTCGTTCCAGAATCATACTGGTTAAGCGAAACATTCGTTATGCAAAACAATTTTTCTCATATAAATTAATGTAAAATACGATAATGCGTTCCATGTCGAGGAAAATACTCACAAAATGCTTTCTACTTCTTTCTATGAGTGCCGATCAATATACTTTCTGTTACTTGATTAATTCACAAAATCCTATGCATAACGTTTATTCAAAGAAAATTATATACATATTGTTAAGGCGAGTGAATCATCTTCATCTTTTCTTCAAACGCGGGACAAACCCACCTGGAATGCGAATTTGATTTGCAGGGGAAAAAAAGTCGAAATAACTATGATACAAAGCCATTTATTTTGTTTACTAGAAAGATGTCTAGAGATATTTGCTTCTGCCGACGCTCCAAAATTTGGCGAAAATGCGACACAGCATTATAATTTAATAAAATTGCAGTGCGCATAGCCACTTCCTTATTAGGGTGATGATTCTCAATGTAAGATGCAACAGTTTCCCATGCTTCCAGCATTTCTCTTTTTTTGCCAGAAGATTGTTGCTTTTCTGTTACCTCCTTCTTCTCCTCTGACAAACTTTCCTCCAAAACTTCTTGCTGTGAAACACAAGGTGGCTCCATAAGCTCTTCGGTGGTCAGCTCTTGGCTTTGCTCTTCCACAAGCTCTTCGGTGGTCAGCTCTTGGCTGTGCTCTTCCACAAGCTCTTCGATATCACTCTTATCTATCTACACTCTCATGAAAGTGGCCAAAGACACAATCTCGTTGACTACAGGTTTCAGAGGTACTGTCTTGAACCCCTCAAAGTCACAAATCGACAACGCTGTCCGGCCAAGGCTTCTTCCAAGCAGAAGTTAGGGTTCTCTTGGTAACCCCTTCCACCGCCTTGTCGATCATCTTGAGGCAGGCAACGATGTGGAAGTGATTTTTTTCCAAAACTCTTTGAGAGTGAGGTTGGTTCCTTCAGTCACCTGAAAACAATGCTCGAAGAGTGCTTGAGTGTAGAGCTTCTTAAAGTTAGAAACAACTTGCTGATCCATGGGCTGGAGTAACTGGATGGTGTTGGGAGGCAGAAACTGGATCTTGATGAACTTAAATTCTTCAGGGAGGTCATCTTGAAGGCCTGGAGGATTCATGCACATAAATAACAAAAAACACAAGTGAGAAAATGTGTGATCACAAGCGACACTACGATGCTACTGGAGCGATTGCTTAACACAGACTGATGTAACATGCACACAATCTGGGACTTCCCCTCTCCTCGCCACTTGTTTTGCGAAACGTCACTTGTTAAGCAAGTCATTCTTTTACAATTTATTTTGCTCGTTATGAGAGGTGCTCGTTAAGCAAGGTTCTACTGTAGATATCTTTTTCAAGCGAACGAAAGAAGAAGATGATTGAAAGTACATGAGACAGAAGGCTGTGGACGTAATGACTACCAGTGCTACACGACAAGCACTATAAGAAGTTTGTTTGTGATTCTTTGAAACATTTATCCGCTTGAATGTTCCGTGGCCGAATTTATAAAGACAAAATAATACTGCTGCTGCTTAACAAGCAAGTTGTAAATGGCGACTAGTTAAGGATTTACTGAAATTAGATTCATTGGGTGGAACAGTGCAGATATCACAGCTGAGCTGTTCACTGCAGCACAGTGTACCAGCCACCTTTTTAAGGGTGGATGCAAAGGAAGAAGAGTTAAAACATGTGGGTTGCTTCATCAGGATTTTAATATTTCTGTTTTCTAGCTAAGCATTTGTTTTTTTGTTTATTGATAAAGACTTTGGTTGAATTATTTGCTTTTATTTGGGTAGTTTTACAGTCTTCTTTTGTTCAGTTTGCAAGTCATTTGAAAAAAAAAATGTTTATATTTGTTCGCATTACTGACTTCTGCAAATTTGGTGGCAGACTGTGTGTGTTGACACTTCTGGTGGCTACTGTGTGTGTTGACATTTTTGGTCGCTACTGTGTGTTGACCCTTCTGGTGGCTACTGTGTGTTGACACATCTAGTGGCTACTGTGTGTGTTGACACTTCTGGTGGCAGACTGTGTGTGTTGACACTTCTGGTGGCTACTGTGTGTGTTGACATTTTTTGTGGCTACTGTGTGTTGACACTTCTGGTGGCTACTGTGTGTTGACACATCTAGTGGCTACTGTGTGTGTTGACACTTCTGGTGGCAGACTGTGTGTGTTGACACTTCTGGTGGCAGACTGTGTGTGTTGACACTTCTGGTGGCTACTGTGTGTGTTCACACTTCCGGTGGCTACTGTGTGTGTGTTGACACTTCTGGTGGCTACTGTGTGTGTTCACACTTCCGGTGGCTACTGTGTGTGTTGACACTTCCGGTGGCTACTGTGTGTGTGTTGACACTTCTGGTGGCTACTGTGTGTGTGTTGACACTTCTGGTGGCTACTGTGTGTGTTGACACTTCCGGTGGCTACTGTGTTTGTGGACACTTCCGGTGGCTACTGTGTGTGTTGACACTTCCGGTGGCTACTGTGTGTGTGTTGACACTTCTGGTGGCTACTGTGTGTGTTGACACTTCCGGTGGCTACTGTGTGTGTGGACACTTCTGGTGGCTACTGTGTGTGTGGACACTTCCGGTGGCTACTGTGTGTGTTGACACTTCCGGTGGCTACTGTGTGTGTTAACACTTCCGGTGGTTACTGTGTGTGTGGACACTTCCGGTGGCTACTGTGTGTGTGGACACTTCCGGTGGCTACTGTGTGTGTGGACACTTCCGGTGGCTACTGTGTGTGTGGACACTTCTGGTGGCTACTGTGTGTGTTGACACATCTGGTGGCTACTGTGTGTGTTGACACTTTCTGGTGGCTACTATGTGTACACATTTCTTACATGTGTATGCTTTTGACTTTGAAGAGACTGCAGACTGCATTAAAAAAAAACTTTTTCACAAGGGATAATGTATGGGGGGGGGGGGGGGGGGGGGCGATGGCACAGGAATGGAGCATTTGTAGGGTGACCCGTTTGCTGTGAAGTTGGAACAGGGAATAACTAACTAATATTCTAAAGTGTGCTGTTATATTGCATTGGTTTGTCAAGTTTATAGCCCAGTCCAATTTTGACATGCATGTTTTGGAGTTTGCTTTTCCTAGTATTTGATTGTTCCCAGTCTGATATCCCTGCTTTTTTTAATTGTCTGGTCCCTAACCCCTGACCTGTCTAGTGTGTTTCTAATGGTCTGGTCTCTAACCCCTGACCTATCTAGTGTGTTTCTAATTGTCTGGTCCCTAACCCCTGACCTGTCTAGTGTGTTTCTAATGGTCTGGTCCCTAACCCCTGACCTGTCTAGTGTGTTTCTAATGGTCTGGTCTCTAACCCCTGACCTATCTAGTGTGTTTCTAATTGTCTGGTCTCTAACCCCTGACCTATCTAGTGTGTTTCTAATTGTCTGGTCTCTAACCCCTGACCTATCTAGTGTGTTTCTAATTGTCTGGTCTCTAACCCCTGACCTATCTAGTGTGTTTCTAATTGTCTGGTCTCTAACCCCTGACCCATCTAGTGTGTTTCTAATTGTCTGGTCTCTAACCCCTGACCTATCTAGTGTGTTTTTTAATTGTCTGATCCCTAACCCCTGACCTGTCTAGTGTGTTTCTAATGGTCTGGTCCCTAACCCCTGACCTGTCTATTGTGTTTCTAATAGTCTGGTCCCTAACCCCTGACCTGTCTAGTGTGTTTCTAATGGTCTGGTCCCTAACTCCTGACCTATCTAGTGTGTTTCTAATCGTCTGGTCCCTAACCCCTGACCTATCTAGTGTGTTTCTAATCGTCTGGTCCCTAACCCCTGACCTATCTAGTGTGTTTCTAATCGTCTGTTCCCTAACCCCTGACCTTTCTTGTGTGTTTCTAATGGTCTGGTCCCTAACCCCTGACCTGTCTAACAAGGAAGACCTGCTGGCCACCCTTGCTATCCTCGAGTGATTTCCTTACCTTCCCTTAGCACAAAATGACAATGTTGTCTGCACAGATGAAGTAGTAGTGCTAACCAACTAATGATTGGACATTTTGCTTTCTTCTTCTTCTTTTCTCTACTCCTGCAATGCCTTGTGGCGTCAGGAGAGGAAGAGATCTCTAGAATGGGCCCTTCTGTTCTCTTTGTATATAGTACTTTTCAGTCTGATTTTGCTTTTATCTTATAGAAATTGAATTAGTAACTTGAATCAGTTTTTTCTAGCACGCTTGATTCAAATGTGCTTCATTTTTTGTTCGGATATGTGAACATTTCAACCCTTCCTTTGAATAATTTTGATGTGTGCATGAAGAAAGTGGTTGTAAACAATTTTTAAGTGATAACTTCACTTTGAAAAGTCAAGTAAGTCTCTAATCCAATATGGCAGCTGTTACAATGGCAGCAAGAAAAATCTGGACACATTTTCACCCAAAATTATTTATGACATATCATTCATAAAATATCTGAGTGAAATCACATTTCTTTCTTGGACAATATCTGTTTTGGTTCTATTTTTTTTAGCTTTATCTGGCAAAGCAAAACAAACTTGGGTGTTGTTTCTCTCTCGCTTAACCAGAATAATCTGCTCAGCGTTTCCACTATGGTGGTGGAGAGAACAGTATGTATCAAAGATGTCTTATGTGGCGGTGATGAGCCTAGTGACTATCTAGAATGTCTTATATGGAGACCAGTCTAGTGACTATCTAGGAACTCTTATGTAGCGGTGACCAGTTTAGTGACTATCTAGGAACTCTTATGTAGCGGTGACCAGTTTAGTGACTATCTAGGAAGTCTTATGTGGCGGTGATGAGCCTAGTGACTATCTAGGAAGCCTTATGTGGCAATGACCAGTCTAGTGAATATCTAGGAAGTCTTATATGGCAGTGACCAGCCTAGTGACTATCTAGGAAGTCTTATGTGGCAGTGACCAGCCTAGTGACTATCTAGGAAGTCTTATGTGGCGGTGACCAGTCTAGTGACTATCTAGGGAGTCTTATGTGGCGGTGACCAGCCTAGTGACTATCTAGGAAGCTTTATGTGGCAGTGACCAGTCTAGTGACTATCTAGGGAGTCTTATGTGGCAGTGACCAGCCTAGTGACTATCTAGGAAGTCTTATGTGGCAGTGGCCAGCCTAGTGACTATCTAGGGAGTCTTATGTGGCGGTGACCAGCCTAGTGACTATCTAGGGAGTCTTATGTGGCGGTGACCAGTCTAGTGACTATCTAAGGAGTCTTATGTGGCGGTGACCAGCCTAGTGACTATCTAAGAAGTCTTATGTGGGGGTGACCAGCCTAGTGACTATCTAGGAAGTCTTATGTGGCGGTGACCAGCCAGTGACTATCTAGGAAGTCTTATGTGGCGGTGACCAGCCTAGTGACTATCTAGGGAGTCTTATGTGGCGGTGACCAGCCTAGTGAGTATCTAGGAAGTCTTATGTGGGGGTGACTAGCCTAGTGACTATCTAGGAAGTCTTATGTGGCGGTGACTAGCCTAGTGACTATCTAGGAAGTCTTATGTAAGCCTAGTGACTATCTAGGAAGTCTTTTGTGAGCCTAGTGACTATCCAGGAAGTCTTATGTGGCGGTGACCAGTCTAGTAACTATCTAGGAAGTCTTATATGGCAGTGACCAGTCTAGTGACTATCTAGGAAGTCTTATATGGCAGTGACCAGCCTAGTGACTATCTAGGAAGTCTTATGTGGCGGTGACCAGCCTAGTGACTATCTAGGGAGTCTTATGTGGCGGTGACCCGCCTAGTGAGTATCTAGGAAGTCTTATGTGGGGGTGACTAGCCTAGTGACTATCTAGGAAGTCTTATGTGGCGGTGACCAGCCTAGTGACTATCTAGGAAGTCTTATGTGGCGGTGACCAGCCTAGTGACTATCTAGGGAGTCTTATGTGGCGGTGACCCGCCTAGTGAGTATCTAGGAAGTCTTATGTGGGGGTGACTAGCCTAGTGACTATCTAGGAAGTCTTATGTGGCGGTGACTAGCCTAGTGACTATCTAGGAAGTCTTATGTAAGCCTAGTGACTATCTAGGAAGTCTTTTGTGAGCCTAATGACTATCTAGGAATTCTTTTGTGGCAGTGACCAGCCTAGTGACTATCTAGGAAGTCTTATGTGGCAGTGACCAGTCTAGTGACTATCTAGGAAGTCTTATATGGCAGTGACCAGTCTGACTATCTAGGAAGTCTTTTGTGGCAGTGACAAGCATAGTGACTATCTAGGAAGTCTTATGTGGCAGTGACCAGTCTAGTGACTATCTGGGAAGTCTTATGTGGCGGTGATGAGCCTAGTGACTATCTAGGAAGTCTTATGTGGCGGTGATGAGCCTAGTGACTATCTAGGAAGTCTTATGTGGCGGTGACCAGCCTAGTGACTATCTAGGAAGTCTTATGTGGCAGTGACCAGTCTAGTGACTATCTAGGAAGTCTTATGTGGCGGTGACCAGCCTAGTGACTATCTAGGAAGTCTTATGTGGCAGTGACCAGTCTAGTGACTATCTAGGAAGTCTTATGTGGCAGTGACCAGCCTAGTGACTATCTAGGAAGTCTTATGTGGCAGTGACCAGTCTAGTGACTATCTAGGAAGTCTTGTATGGCGGTGACCAGTCTAGTGACTATCTAGGAAGTCTTATGTGGCGGTGACCAGTCTAGTGACTATCTAGGAAGTCTTATGTGGCAGTGACCAGTCTAGTGACTATCTAGGAAGTCTTATGTGGCGGTGACCAGTCTAGTGACTATCTAGGAAGTCTTATGTGGCGGTGACCAGTCTGACTATCTAGGAAGTCTTATATGGCAGTGACCAGTCTAGTGACTATCTAGGAAGCTTTATGTGGCGGTGACCAGCCTAGTGACTATCTAGGAAGTTTTATGTGGCAGTGACCAGCCTAGTGACTATCTAGGAAGCTTTATGTGGCGGTGACCAGTCTGACTATCTAGGAAGTCTTATGTGGCAGTGACCAGCCTAGTGACTATCTAGGAAGTCTTATGTGGCAGTGACCAGTCTAGTGACTATCTAGGAATTCTTATGTGGCTGTGGCCAGCCTAGTGACTATCTAGGAAGCTTTATGTGGCGGTGACCAGCCTAGTGACTATCTAGGGAGTCTTATGTGGCAGTGACCAGCCTAGTGACTATCTAGGAAGTCTTATGTGGCGGTGACCAGTCTGACTATCTAGGAAGTCTTATGTGGCAGTGACCAGCCTAGTGACTATCTAGGAAGTCTTATATGGCAGTGACCAGTCTAGTGACTATCTAGGAAGTCCCCCTGGTGGTGTGAGTAGTCTCTACCCAGGATGCTGCACTAGGTGGTGAAGAAAAAACAAAAAAAGACTTGTCAACCTGGGATGTTCCACCTGGGGGGGGGGGGGGGGGTGAGAGACAGTCTCTTTCTGTGATGTCCTAGCTGGTGGTGGGGGGGGGGAAAAACAAGACTAGTCTCTACCTAAAAATTCCCTGCTGGAGTTGAAAATACACCCCAAAAAAGTCCTACTTAAAGATAAAGAAGAAATACTCTGCTTGAAAGTTCCACTCAGAAGCGAAAACAAACCAGTCTCTGTCTAGTTAGTCCACTTCTGTTAAACTGGAAGCTGAAAGTTAGTCCACTTTTAATTTGGAAGCTGAAAGTTAGTCCACTTTTGTTAAACTGGAAGCTGAAAGTTAGTCCACTTTTGTTGAACTGGAAGCTGAATCTGTTTCATCTTCTGACTCATGCTGATGCTTTTTAGAAAATTATTTTCAATGGAGAAGCTGAAGTGAAGTGACAACCTACAGACAAAAGACATCCTGATCTAATCTGATGCCTTAAAATCTGAACTGCTTCTGGTACACATTGTCTCTTTGTTGTTGAAGACAGTAAGCATTGGAAGATCTTGACAGTCAGCAGTGGAAGATCTTGACAGAAAGCAGTGGAAGATCTTGACAGTAAGCAGTGGAAGATCTTGACAGTAAGCAGTGGAAGATCTTGACAGTAAGCAGTGGAAGATCTTGACTGTAAGCAGTGTAAGATCTTGACAGTAAGCAGTGGAAGATCTTGACAGTAAGCAGTGGAAGATCTTGACAGTAAGCAGTGGAAGATCTTGACAGTAAGCAGTGGAAGATCTTGACAGTAAGCGGTGGTAGATCTTGACAGTAAGCGGTGGAAGATCTTGGCAGTAAGCAGTGGAAGATCTTGACAGTAAGCAGTGGTAGATCTTGGCAGTAAGCAGTGGAAGATCTTGACAGTAAGCAGTGGAAGATGTTGACAGTAAGCAGTGGAAGATCTTGACAGTAAGCAGTGGAAGATCTTGACAGTAAGCAGTGGAAGATCTTGACAGTAAGCAGTGGAAGATGTTGACAGTAAGCAGTGGAAGATGTTGACAGTAAGCAGTGGAAGATGTTGACAGTAAGCAGTGGAAGATGTTGACAGTAAGCAGTGGAAGATGTTGACAGTAAGCAGTGGAAGATGTTGACAGTAAGCAGTGGAAGATGTTGACAGTAAGCAGTGGAAGATGTTGACAGTAAGCAGTGGAAGATGTTGACAGTAAGCAGTGGAAGATCTTGACAGTAAGCAGTGGAAGATGTTGACTACTTATACATCTGTTCTGGCTGCACAAAAATGGGATTGTGGGACAGAAGGTTTAATCAACAGAACATGGGCGCCAGAATTTGTTCTTTACTTAGTCGTATCATTGTCCATGTTTTTGTTTGCTGATGAAGGTTTTCAAGCTATAACATTCATTTTTTTTGTAACTGCTGTATATAGAGTATCTGATTCATGATTTGAGTTGATGTCTTTTTTTTTTTTTTTTTTTTTCAAATGACGCTTAAAAGTTAGTAAAATGGTTCCATGGTGCAATCCTCGATGTTTACATGGGTTCGATTCCTGCAATACGCAGTTTAGAAAAAGATCGTTCTCGTGATTTACAGACAGTGGTGCGAGAGTCGCACTGTGGAAGTGATTGGGGCCCCACGTATTATTTCTGTAGTTAACAGTGATGCAGACCTCCCTCACTGTGACAGCACAGTTTCTTTTTATCATAGTTAACAAAACAGTTCTGGCTACCAAAGTATCACTCAGTGTTTTATGATAGTTCTTTTTTGAAGCCTAAAACATGACACTGTTTCTTCTTCTTCTTCTTCGCGATCACCAGTTGTAAAAGTTCTGGTTGTTCGTCAACTTCTGGACTGCAGTCCTGTTCCAGAACCTGAGTGTTGCATGTGCATCCGTGTTACAAATCTGACTCATTTGTTTGCAGACTGTTGGTTCCTTGCCTCTCAGGCAGATGTACTCCGACTTTGAAGGAAACTCCCAATTAGTCTACTCTTACGACATGCTTTTGGATATTCTTGTTTTCCCTATAACTACGTAGATGTGATTTCATTGGGGTCATTTGAAACTTACATTTAAATGTTCTTTTTTTTTGGATGTCTTTTTTTGATGTTTAATTTGTTTTGTTTATTTTCACATTAATTGTAAATCTTAATCAGAATTTAGCCAATTCTATATAAGCTGTTGAGATTAGATATGTTGTTAATTGTTCTGCTTCCTTTTTGTATGATTACCAGTTTATTACTGCATTTTTTTGCTTCACTGGGAAGGTCACGGGTAGTGAGCATACTTTGGATCATTTCTGCAGATGATGCCCAGTGTAATGGGTAATGACAGGCAGACAGATTGGCTGGATCTGCACCACTGGGTGGCGAATTGATACTTAGAGGAAAGGCAAGACAGACATATAACCAGAATGTGACCGGTATCATCAGTATTGGAACTCTGCGCTAGCTGCTGAAGATGAGGACAGGGCATGCATGGGAATGCCCCGAGTGCTGTGATGTCAATTCTTGACTCAACTCAACTCAACTACTGCATTTCTCATGCTGTAAGCCAATTGTGGAAAATAAGTTACCTTAAGAGTGTGGCTAGGTTGCATGATATGTAGGAGATTTACTGCAGTGTTGTGCGTGTGTGTGTGATCCCTGCTATAGATGATCTGTCAGTACTGCAATGTTGTGTGGGTGATTCATGCTATAGTGGATTTGCCACTACTGCAATGTTGTGTGTGTAATCTGTGCTATAGTTGATCTACGGTACTCTAATGTTGTGTCTACTCTAATGTGTCTGTCATCCATGCTATAAATGATCTACCAGGACTGCCATGTTGTCTGTGATCCATGCTATAAATGATCTATCAAGACTGCCATGTTGTGTGTGATCCTTGCTATAAATGATCTACCAGGACTGCCATGTTGTCTGTGATCCCTGCTATAAATGATCTACCAGGACTGCCATGTTGTCTGTGATCCCTGCTATAAATGATCTACCAGGACTGCCATGTTGTCTGTGATCCCTGCTATAAATGATCTACCAGGACTGCCATGTTGTCTGTGATCCATGCTATAAATGATCTACCAGGACTGCCATGTTGTCTGTGATCCATGCTATAAATGATCTATCAAGACTGCCATGTTGTGTCTGGGATCCTTGCTATGGCCAGTCTTGCGCAGCTTGTTTATCTGTGGTTACTATTAAGGTCACAGCTGCTGTTATTAATGAAATAGTTTGTATAACTGATTTAGTGCATATCTGCTCCATGATCTGTAGTGATACAGTTGTTATACCTTTATCTGTTATATCTGACACTCCTGTCACATTATTCCTGTGATCTGTGAGTGGTCTAGCACCTCTGTTATGTTATACCTGTGATCGGTTCTATCTGCGGTCTAGCCTCTGTTATATTATACCTGTGATGTCTAGCAACCCTGTTATGTTATACCTGTGATGTCTAGCAACCCTGTTATGTTATACCTGTGATCGGTTCTATCTGCCCTCTAGCCTCTCTGTTATATTATACCTGTGATGTCTAGCACCTCTGTTATGTTATACCTGTGATCGGTTCTATCTGCGGTCTAGCCTCTCTGTTATATTATATCTGTGATGTCTAGCACCTCAGTTATGTTATACCTGTGATGTCTAGCACCTCTGTTGTGTTATACCTGTGATCGGTTCTATCTGCGGTCTAGCCTCTCTGTTATATTATACCTGTGATGTCTAGCAACCCTGTTATGTTATACCTGTGATGTCTAGCAACCCTGTTATGTTATACCTGTGATCAGTTCTATCTGCAGTCTAGGCTGTCTGTTATATTATACCTGTAGTCAGTTCTTTTTGTGGTCTAACGCTATTTTTATGTTATATCTGTGATCTGTTTTGACTGCTATCTAGCATTCTTGTCATGTTACATCTGTGAGTAGTCTCGCACAGCTGTTATATTATACCTGTGATCTGTGAGTATTCTAGTGCCCCTGTTTTACCTGTGATTTGTTTTGTATGGTCTAGTGCCTGTTATGCTATACCTGTAATCTGCGAGCGGTCTAGATCCTGTTATGTTATACCTATGATCTTTGAGTGGTCTAGCTACCCTGTTATATTATAGCTGTGATCTACGACTGGTATAGCTCCCCTGTTATGTTATAGCTGTGATCTACGACTGGGATAGCTCCCCTGTTATGTTATAGCTGTGATCTACGACTGGTCTAGCTCTCCTGTTATGTTATAGCTGTGATCTACGACTGGTCTAGCTCCCCTGTTATGTTATAGCTGTGATCTACGACTGGTCTAGCGCCCCTGTTATGTTATAGCTGTGATCTACAACTGGTCTAGCTCCCCTGTTATGTTATAGCTGTGATCTACAACTGGTCTAGCTCCCCTGTTATGTTATAGCTGTGATCTACAACTGGTCTAGCTGCCCTGTTATGTTATAGCTGTGATCTACGACTGGTCTAGCTTCAGTGTTATGTTATAGCTGTGATCTATGAGTGGTCTAGCTCCCCTGTTATGTTATAACTGTGATCTACGACTGGTCTAGGGCCCCTGTTATGTTCAGCCTGTGATCTTTTCCATGTTATAACTAACCTGGTTCATTTATTACCATTGATGTCTAACAAGGTCACAGTTCTGCAGTACAGGTGTGGTTTTTTTCCCTTCTGTTTTTAGTTTGTTGTTTAATATTTAATAGTTGTTTGAGCTTTGATTAATCTTTGTTACATATTTGATTTGATTAATTGTTTGCACACTTGATCTTTGATCGAATCTTGTGTACTCACCTGAATGTTTACATTTTTTTTATGTAATGGTTGCCATAAACTGCGGAGCATGAGTTGAGTTCTCAAGCCCTAAATAAGAAAGCAAATTTTTTCCCAAAATGATGGGTCAGCAAAAACTAGGGGTCAGCATACACTAGGGGTCAGCTGATGTGGTGGGTTTGAATTATGTTATGATGATAATATTTCTGTTGAGATGTTTGTCAAGAGTTCAACTTTGCATCGCGTGGCTGTGATGAACTCATAATTGGAGTGACTCTACAACAAATTTTACGAGCTAACAGGCAAATTGAATGGCTCCATCCATCGAGTTAAGTTTTCATTTGTTTAATTTTTGTTGTTTTTGCTTCTAATAAATTGCTGGGGGGTGGGGGGTGGAATGTACAAAACATTTTGTTTTACAAGAAACAGGAACTGCTGGGGGAGACATAAAATTGCTGGTTGTATTTTTAAAATATTTTTTGCGTGTGAATTTTCTTGGCAGTTGTGTTCTGCTGCCTTCCATTATTAGGCTGGTGGTTGCTGTACATATCATGTTGCTGCTAATTATTGTATATTTTGAGGAAACACACTCACAAGCAGGTGGTCAATTGGCTAGAATGCCGTGCCTTCTTGCAGGAGACACATGTTTGAAACCTCTATAAGATAACATAGGTTTTTGTTTTTTTCTGTTAGGGAATCTCGTGTTTGAAACCTCGATAAGGTGACATAGGTTTTTGTTTTTTTCTGTTAGGGAATCTCGTGTTTGAAACCTCGACAAGGTGACATAGGTTTTTTTTTGTTTGTTAGGGAATCTTGTGTTTAAAACCTCGATATGGTGACAAAGGTTTTTTCTGTCAGGAGCAACTCGTGTTTAAAACCTCAGTAAGTTGACATAGGTTTTTTTCTGTCAGGAGCAACTCGTGTTTAAAACCTCAGTAAGTTGACATATGTTTTTTTCTGTCAGGAGCAACTCGTGTTTAAAACCTCAGTAAGTTGACATAGGTTTTTTCTGTCAGGAGCAACTCGTGTTTAAAACCTCAGTAAGTTGACATAGGTTTTTTTCTGTCAGGAGCAACTCGTGTTTAAAACCTCAGTAAGTTGACATAGGTTTTTTTCTGTCAGGAGCAACTCGTGTTTAAAACCTCAGTAAGTTGACATAGGTTTTTTTCTGTTACGGATGCTAGTGTTTGAAACCTCGATAAAGTGATATAGGTTTTTTTTTTTCTGTCAAGGGCAGATAAGTAAACATTTGTACCAGCACAGTTCATGGTGACTGCCCTCAATTCTCAGCCTCAAGACCCCCCCACCGTAACAGTGGTAAACACAGGCAGTTAATACATTTTCTTATACAATCAAACCTCAGCTCTGTGGGCTCTGGTTTATCTACTATCTCAAAATTATGAAACTGCATTTACAACTTACAAGTCTCAAAGGTAAAAAACAGAAGATGAGACATTCATCATCATTAGCTGCATTGCCAACTGGCGTGGGTGATCATGCCTCTCCACAATCTGCGATCTCCTGCAGCATGTATCAGTTCCCATGCTGACACACACCTCTATGCCATGTAACAAGGCTGTCAAGAATCTTCCCTCGTTGTCTTCCCCTATCCCTCCTTCCACAGATCTTTCCAGTGATCCCAACATGTTGCATTTTCTCCCTTCTCATAACAAGGCCGAAAAATGATGACACATAAAATGAAAAGACATTAGAAATATATGTCTGTTAGAAGTATATGGACAGTTGGCCGATTAGTGGAAACGTTTATGAAAGCTGCGAAGATGTGGTTTTATAGATGAACGATGAGGATGCCCTGGACTGATGAAAAGAGCAGTGAAGATGTCTTGACTGAAATTGACTCATAAAGATTGAATGATTGCCCCTTTCAGGATACTGTCTACATTCTTTGGTCACATGACTACCAGTGCCATACAGCAGAGATTATCAGAAGTAGTAGTTAGGAGTAACGTCTGTAGCAGTTGGAGACAGTGGTCATATTCGGGTCAATGGAGACAGTGGGCATATTCAGGTGAATGGAGACAGTGGTTATACTGGGGTGAACGGAGACAGTGATCATACTGGGGTGAACGGAGACAGTGGTCATACTGGGGTGAACGGAGACAGTGGTCATACTGGGGTGAACGGAGACAGTGGTCATACTGGGATGAATGGAGACAGTGGTCATACTTGGGTGAATGGAGACAGTGGTTATACTTTGGTGAATGGAGACAGTGGTCATACTGGGGTGAATGGAGACAGTGGTCATACTGGGGTGAACGGAGACAGTGATCATACTGGGGTGAATGGAGACAGTGGTCATACTTGGGTGAATGGAGACAGTGGTCATACTAGGGTGAACGGAGACAATGGTCATACTGGGGTGAATGGAGACAGTGATCATACTGGGGTGAATGGAGACAGTGGTCATACTGGGGTGAACGGAGACAGTGGTCATACTGGGGTGAATGGAGACAGTGGTCATACTGGGGTGAGTGGAGACAGTGGTTATACTTGGGTGAATGGAGACAGTGGTCATACTGGGGTGAACGGAGACAGTGGTCATACTGGGGTGAATGGAGACAGTGGTCATACTGGGGTGAACGGAGACAGTGGTCATGCTGGGGTGAATGGAGACAGTGGTCATACTGGGGTGAATGGAGACAGTGGTCATACTGGGGTGAACGGAGACAGTGGTCATACTGGGGTGAATGGAGACAGTGGTCATACTGGGGTGAATGGAGACAGTGGTCATACTGGGGTGAATGGAGACAGTGGTCATACTGGGGTGAATGGAGACAGTGATCATACTGGGGTGAATGGAGACAGTGGTCATACTTGGGTGAATGGAGACAGTGGTCATACTAGGGTGAATGGAGACAGTGGTCATACTGGGGTGAATGGAGACAGTGGTCATACTGGGGTGAATGGAGACAGTGGTCATACTGGGGTCAATGGAGACAGTGATCATACTGGGGTGAATGGAGACAGTGGTCATACTTGGGTGAATGGAGACAGTGATCATACTGGGGTGAATGGAGACAGTGGTCATACTCGGGTGAATGGAGACAGTGGTCATACTCGGGTGAATGGAGACAGTGGTTATACTGGGGTGAATGGAGACAGTGATCATACTAGGGTGAATGGAGACAGTGATCATACTCGGGTGAATGGAGACAGTGGTCATACTGGGGTGAATGGAGACAGTGATCATACTGGGGTGAATGGAGACAGTGATCATACTGGGGTGAATGGAGACAGTGGTCATACTGGGGTGAATGGAGACAGTGGTCATACTGGGGTGAATGGAGACAGTGGTCATACTGGGGTGAATGGAGACAGGAATGGAATGGACAGTGATCTGGGGTGAATGGAGACAGTGATCATACTCGGGTGAATGGAGACAGTGGTGGAGACATACTGGGGTGAATGGAGACAGTGGTCATACTAGGGTGAATGGAGACAGTGATCATACTGGGGTGAATGGAGACAGTGATCATACTAGGGTGAATGGAGACAGTGATCATACTAGGGTGAATGGAGACAGTGGTCATACTGGGAGACAGTGAATGGAGACAGTGGTCATACTGGGGTGAATGGAGACAGTGATCATACTGGGTGTGAATGGAGACAGTGATCATACTGGGGTGAAATGGAGACAGTGATCATACTAGGGTGAATGGAGACAGTGATCATACTGGGGTGAATGGAGACAGTGATCATACTGGGGTGAATGGAGACAGTGATCATACTGGGGTGAATGGAGACAGTGATCATACTGGGGTGAATGGAGACAGTGATCATACTGGGGTGAATGGAGACAGTGGTCATACTGGGGTGAATGGAGACAGTGGTCATACTGGGGTGAATGGAGACAGTGATCATACTCGGGTGAATGGAGACAGTGGTTATACTGGGGTGAATGGAGACAGTGATCATACTCGGGTGAATGGAGGTGAATGGAGTGACAGTGAGACAGTGGTCATACTATGGTGAATGGAGACAGTGATCATACTGGGGTGAATGGAGGTGTCATACTACTGGGGTGAATGGAGACAGTGATCATACTAGGGTGAATGGAGACAGTGATCATACTGGGGTGAATGGAGACAGTGATCATACTAGGGTGAATGGAGACAGTGATCATACTAGGGTGAATGGAGACAGTGATCATACTAGGGTGAATGGAGACAGTGATCATACTGGGGTGAATGGAGACAGTGATCATACTAGGGTGAATGGAGACAGTGATCATACTAATGGAGACAGTGAAATGGGGCGAGACAGTGGTCATACTAGGGGTGAATGGAGACAGTGATCATACTAGGGTGAATGGAGACAGTGATCATACTAGGGTGAATGGAGACAGTGGTCATACTAGGGTGAATGGAGACAGTGATCATACTAGGGTGAATGGAGACAGTGATCATACTAGGGTGAATGGAGACAGTGATCATACTAGGGTGAATGGAGACAGTGATCATACTAGGGTGAATGGAGACAGTGATCATACTAGGGTGAATGGAGACAGTGATCATACTAGGGTGAATGGAGACAGTGATCATACTAGGGTGAATGGAGACAGTGATCATACTGGGGTGAATGGAGACAGTGATCATACTAGGGTGAATGGAGACAGTGATCATACTGGGGTGAATGGAGACAGTGATCATACTGGGTGAATGGAGACAGTGATCATATACTAGGGTGAATGGAGACAGTGATCATACTAGGGGTGAATGGAGACAGTGGGGGTGAATGGAGACAGTGATCATACTGGGGTGAATGGAGACAGTGGTCATACTGGGGTGAATGGAGACAGTGGTCATACTAGGGTGAATGGAGACAGTGATCATACTAGGGTGAATGGAGACAGTGGTCATACTGGGGTGAATGGAGACAGTGATCATACTAGGGTGAATGGAGACAGTGATCATACTAGGGTGAATGGAGACAGTGGTCATACTAGGGTGAATGGAGACAGTGGTCATACTTGGGTGAACGGAGACAGTGGTCATACTGGGGTGAATGGAGACAGTGATCATACTGGGGTGAATGGAGACAGTGATCATACTGGGGTGAATGGAGACAGTGGTCATACTGGGGTGAATGGAGACAGTGATCATACTGGGGTGAATGGAGACAGTGGTCATACTAGGGTGAATGGAGACAGTGGTCATACTAGGGTGAATGGAGACAGTGGTCATACTGGGGTGAACGGAGACAGTGGTCATACTTGGGTGAACAGAGACAGTGATCATACTTGGGTGAACGGAGACAGTGATCATACTTGGGTGAATGGAGACAGTGATCATACTCGGGTGAATGGAGACAGTGGTCATACTCGGGTGAACGGAGACAGTGGTCACACTCGGCTGAACGGAGACAGTGGTCATACTCGGCTGAACTGAGACCCAACCACCTGTGACATCCTTCTGTCTAGTAAAAGAGTGTCAGATGACAGAGAAGTAAAAACTATAGACAAGGGAGATGAATGGTCGTAGACCAGGAGGCAGACCAAGAAGACGATAGAGAGATAATATCCAGACAGACTTTCAAATAATTGGTGTCACCAACTGGAAAGAGAGGGCCAACCAGAGAGATGAATGGGGGCGGGGGACATCTGCAGCAATGAACCTCTAGGGCTCAGAATGCTGAAGAAGAAGAAGAAATGGATAACCGTAATAAAATGTAATGTATGTAATGATATAATGAGCAGGGGTCTAGATTTAAGAATTTGTGCCTTTTTTCATTTGTCCAAGCCAAAAGCCTCCGGATTTTGGGAAATGTAAAGAGGGGGGGGGGGGGGGGGGGGGTGCAGAGACTCTACACTGATGTGTATGCAGTAGTATATTAAATACAGAACTTAATTAACACATAAGTATTGTACTGAAGACAGAATGTGTGTGTACATGAATAGTACATTGAGGACACATTTACTGTGTACATGAATAGTGCATTGTGGATCAGTTTTATGTGTACATGAGCAACATACTTATTGAAGAAATGTAATTTACACATATGAGTTTTGTACTGAGGACAATTTGATTTTCGCATGAATAGTGCATTGATGACAAATTTAATGTGCACATGAATATCAAACTGATGAACGAATTTAACGTGCACACTAGTAGTGCACCGAAGACAGAAATAAAAGTGCACACTAGTAGTGCACCGAGGGTAAAGTTATTTCTGCCTAAAGCAAAACTGCACACATGAAATT